ATACACAATCACATGACAAGAGTTCATAAAAAGCACGATCGATAACGGAACTAAAAACATGTTGCGTTTCCGGTGTGCTTTTCTCAGATCAATGAAAAACTACTAGACTGTCAACGGTTTGATAGATCTTCTTTGATCAAGGTTAGATCCAAGAGAAAGTAAAACCTCAGCTGAGCACGAGGAGAATGAAATCTACTCACGTTGATTCAGTGTGGCTTTACGATGATACAGTTGAACCGAGCATCAATCGATGATAAAGTATAACGATCAGGTGATCAAGCAAGGCCACAATGTGAGTCTGTACACTTGAAGCTCCTTCAGAACAAGATTAGCAATACAGCAATGCAAGAACGAAGCGGTTCATCAACAACGTTTGGTGGCTTTGGCCTTATTGCAATCCCTCTGGTTTAAGGACTAAAGCATGTCAGAGGCAATGGTTCACACCGCTTTATCACCAATACCATTATCATCATGAGTATGTTGATCAGAGCTCAACGTATGGGCATCATTAGGAAGTCCAACCACTAAGGATGCAAACGATCAGGGCTCTCAATCGGAACCTTAGGTTCTGACATTAGCGGAAAGGAGGTCCATCTACTTGCATTGATCATTCTTCCAAAAATTTTACCCGATGAGAGGTTAACTACAGGGTTGAACTCTCCCCTCCCTCTCAAACCAAAACTGGGGGGAGAATGGGCTTCGTCTGACCAGGATCATTCGATCGTTTAGACGAGCAAAAGCCATCCCGTGAAGTTCATTCGGTCACAGATAGATTCAAAATATTCACCAAGGAATTGAAATATCGTTCGCATAACTTTTGTCTACGGTGGAGTTGAAAATATTATCAGTTTGAAAGGTGATCACGTTTTGAATAATATGCGCCCAAAGTTGAAATCAGCTCAGTAGACCGCACACTTCCAACTGCTCAAACCAGTCTTGCGTAATTAATCTGGACAAGCTTAAACGAGGCTGGAAACTGGTTCGGCCTCACACATTGTGCACCAGTACACCAGCAGTTGCAATGACGCATACATGGACAGAACAAGTGTCACAAAACTCCCCTAGCTGAATTTTCTTTTAAAATTTTATTACACGCCCACGTGTGATGAACAGCACACGAGACGAACCCAATAGTCACGAGGACAGGCTATTCAGTGATGGAAACCGGCAAGCTAAGCCCCAGGACTTGGAGTGGTGAACCACATAAGGCCCCGATAGATTAGGCGTGGTACTGAACCGAACAACAGCAGAGCTGCCTACCACCAAAGTCGGGTGGCGGGGCTCGGATTTCAGGCCACAGGGTCCCAAGCACGCCGATGACAGTAACTAAACCACTACGCCACCACAAACCAATTTAGTTATCCGAATGCGGTCGTGCATGTATTGGTCCCCTTCTTTGAAAATTAAGCCTAACACACAATCCTGTAAAATTATAAAAGATGAATTGTGCATGAATATTGTCGCAACGGGTGATTTGTTTTCCATGAACGAGTTCATGGGTGCAGCGGATACAACACTTATGGGAACGATTACGATCAGCAACAGCAGTCGCCCTAATTAGGTCTAAACGAACGGGGAAATTGTATGACTAAAGTGAATTTGAAAGTGTTCCGTGTCCCCATGATCAGAAGTCAGTCAAACTGAAATAGTACTCAGGCAAATCCACCGTTTGGGGTATTCACTGTCATCATGAATGAATGTTCCAGCGGCAAACAGATCCCAGCGTCCCCGAAGATCCTAAAAACCCTATTTATTACCTTCTCATACCGGCAGTGAGCTTTCATCTGGCCTAAGTTCGAGGAGCGAATAGTAGTGACTGAAGTGAACTGATAAACCGGTGACAGCATTATTTATCAAGTATCTCATCTCCATTGGATCTTGAAACACCAACCACTATGAGTTCCAGAGGCCACGTACGGTCTGTTCTATCGAATTCGCTTCACCTTTGAATACAACTCATCTACCGAAACTCGTTGTGGAATATTACGAAAGCAGATGAGGTGCTCGTGAAGCTCATAACAGCATGCTACTCAGAAACCTGACCTCGAGAGAGCGTGTAGGGAGTTTCTATTGACCGCGAAAAGGATGTCTCTGATGACGATGATGACGACGTTGATGATGATGATGATGATGATGGTGATGTTGATGATGATGATGATGATGACGATGATGTTGATGATGATGATGATGATGATGATGATGATGAAGATGATGATGATGATGATAGTATTGATATCCAATCGACATTAGCAGCATACTCTGGGAGTACGTATTGAAATCGATTTATAAATGCATATGTACAGCGACAGAGCTTGAAAGAAATGTGGGCTAACTGACTTTCTCTATAGGTCGACCTTGCCGCTGAACATAGAACATTGAATGACGTATGTAAACCTATTGCGATAACTGCAGCCGCATACTTCATGTAGCGTGAGGGTCTACGGTGGGCTAAGTAAATCGTTCAAAAACAGCAGCAGTGTCATAGTCGCTATTACTGTTCGATTTCATCGTAAACGAAACACTGGAGTACGCACCTGATGGTTCCCAAATGTTGATATTGCATGAGCAGCTCAAGAGAAGCTGTGCGATTTAGAGCACNGTCTGTTCGAGTTTATGAGGGATGCGTAAAGCGCTCTTCACAGACTTTCAAGTTCTGTAGCTCTGTTTGGTATGCGCTTTGCACCCCCAAAGTGCAAAGCGATGCTACAAGATTGGGTGTCATCTACCTGGGGGTTTCATGCTTGATGATGAAGAACTAATTAGAGTGGATTGTTTTCCCACTTAGGTAGTTGCGTGACAAATGACAGCAGCGTGGTCAAGATGGTAACCACCCGCGTTTCCAAGGGAGCAGTAGCGAAATACCTTTGGTGCAGACGTGATGTTTTGTGTGGTTACGAGACACTAAATTTGCGCGTGGAAGATATTCGTCGTCTAGGATTCTTCGACCGTCGATGTTTCCGCAGTTTGGCGCGGGTTGGTTAGAGCCAGCGAGTAGGAAGCCCCGAGGCAAGCAATCGCGTATTGGGTAAGGATTCGGTGGAAAATTCATTATTACATAGAATTCAAACCAGTAGGCCTCGCTTGTTAGGATACACATTGCGCATGTCCAGCATCGAACCATATTCACAGTTGCGGCTCCAAATCAGAGGACCCCACGTGGAGGTCAGCAGATGACGTGGAAGCGAGGCATGAATAAATGCACAGAGCGATTCGGTAGAACAGGTGTCTCTCGTCTCGCAGGTTGGGGTCCGGAAAACTCTGTAACTGGTTAGTTTGAGACACTGAATTATATGGCAGCTAACCGACAGCTGTAGCGTTCTTATTGTCTCATCGAAACAAACAGAATAAAAGTTTGATTAAATGGATTAACGGAATTCAATGCTTCAAAGTTCTTATTGTCATTTCTTTTCAGATCAGAATGCTTGAAAAATGTATAGATGCACTATTGGATTGTGCACTGTGTGTCTTGTCCATAGAGGTTCACTTTCTTCCCCCTCCCCATCTTGCATTTTCTCACTTGATTTGTGTACATTGTGAGCTTGGCAGCGATCAGCGAAGTTCGCCTCACTGTATCTCGCTGTGCGATGATGATTGATAACAATCGTCACACATTTTCACGGAACATAAATTATTCTCCTCATAAATGTGTTATTTTCAAATCCATACGTGTTCGCTGGTCGACTGACGACAGGCATATTCGCCACCGTTTTTCTTTTTACCTTCGGACAAATCCAACTATACAGCCCAGAACTAGAACTAACTAATTGATAACTAAACCCATGAGCAATGGGAAGGAAAAACGCGTGTATTGGAAACATATCTAGTCTCACGATGCGAATATCTCTACCAACAAAATCTGTCTGCTCTAGACAGCATTCAAATTTATTTTGAAAAACAATAAACATTATTTATACGAGTCAGGAAAACGCATAGTGCATACAGATATAGACCGTAAACAAAACATGCCTGAGTGGAAATCACAACCACATGCATTTGACTCAACTGAAAAGATGTGATCAGCAGAAGAGAGCGATGTAAACGTTTGGCGTTGAGGATTGAAAACAACAAAACCGAGCGAAAAATAACGAATGATGAAACTGAAAAACAGCTCAAGATCCTGTTCTAATTTCGAAGATGTAATGTCATCTCTACGACATCGGAATTTGAAATGACCGAGACAGTTATGTGGTTGTGTGCGGCCTAGAGAAAACATTCCATGAGTGACGGGAGGAAAACTAATCAGTTGGTTACCGAATTTGCCTGATCGAATCAAGGAGGAGGAGGAGAGAAAACGTGCTGGGCAGTTTTCTCGGCTGAGTGGTTTGCGCACATAGTGCTACCGAAGGACTCAAGAGTGACCATCAATCAGTCAGTCGGTGGTCTTAAATCTATTCTAGTTGAGTGCTTGCCCAACTTAAACCGATGTATTTTCAAAACTCAAACGAACCAGACTGGGTCAAAAAGTAACTCTTGAGAGTGCTCCAAAGTTGTATCGTATGGAACAGCTCAGGTAGATCGACCGCATCACCAATACTAAGGCAAGACTGGCAAGAGTGTTTGAAAATATTTCAGCCGAGACTACCATGTAATACCGAATTCCCAGGCTGAGAGGCCCTTCTTGTCTGGAACTCGGGCCATGTGTATGTGCGTGTTCTCAGTCGATTGTTCCAATGTATCGTGTTGGCACAGCTGTTCCAGAATGCACGGGGATACAAAGCTGAATGGGACCTAAATGCGCGCAGACGAGGAATGACGCGACAGAAAACGAAAAAATACAGACTACTCGAAGAGGTCTATACAATTGGAGAGAGAGAGAGAGACAGTGGACTCTAAGCGTGCAACACAACGATTATACTCGGTTTGTTCCTACATAGTCAACCGGCTCCACTTCCTGTCAGTATAACACACGAACATTTATCCCGTACATCGACAAAGATTGACCAGATGAGCAACAAAGTTTCGTTTAACCCATGTCAGGGGCCGCATAGTTGTACCACAGAATGCACGCACGCAATACGTATTGAACAGCGATCACTAGTATGTCATATAAAAGGCATAACATCACTTGAGCTTGTGCAACCAAGTCAACAACGTTGATAACCAGATTACAGAGATTCAGGAAACTAGGCCAAGCAGATCAATAGAAAAGTGACCTTTTTAGAGGACAAAACACAACGCCGTAAACAGTCCCGTACTGTGCTCTCATCGGTGAAAAGTGCGCCCGTGCACAGCAAATGCTAATATAGGTTGATCAGATTTTCCATCGAACCTCGTTGCAACTTGGTAACAACTAACATTGAAACCAAATCGCAGCTTAAATCACGGTAGGTGTCAATGCATTTCGTCCAGGTTAGTGTGGATACATAGAAAGTGTTGCAGTGAACGGCCGTGCGAAATACCATTCGAGTTAATTAAATCACGAATCAGTAAACAGTTTATCATAGCAACGCATCCTCTGATTCAAAGAGTTGTCGTTTGAAACAAATTGACGAGATTTCTAAGTAACTAACTATCACGTGAGGATAAATTGCACATTGACGCGTCGTTTTTGGCGACACCTTGTAAATTCGTTGAGTTCCGGCGTTCCTTGACGCACGGCGATCAAGCCCAATAGGCAGTGAGCACAGCTACACAACTCGCAACGAGACGTCAGCTTAGCGTAAGTTTATGGAGAGATCATGTGATGTAGTGCTTTCAAAGTATCGGAATATAAGTGCACTGCAGCCATGGAAAGTTCCAATAAGATATTCCGTTTCTTTCGGGTCACTGGGTGAGTGAATCTATCTGAGGCTGACGGCTAGTCTACACACAATCAGAAATGACATCCTGCACGCTGGACGGAGCATTTCAGATTCCGATCGTCTTCTGTCATCGCTGATCAATCAAGCTTGTTACAGAACGGCTCTTGAAGATTTGAAAGATTAAGCAATGATGCCCCTAGCAGGGGAACTGATTGTTGTCTCTACGTCTTTAAAAGGGGCCTGCTCAGTGACTGCGCCAAATACAAAATCATAAGCCCGACCCCAATAGAATTCAGGTTGTTGGCGCCCGTTGTTCACGCCGCAATCAGATCAGCGAGAAGCAGGCCGGATTTCGTGCCACTTGTGGATGCATCGAGTAAATCTTCACTCTCCGAAAGTTGCTAAAGCACCAGCATGCTTTCCAAAGATCGGTCTATTCTTGGATATCCATATGGAGTTCGATTTCATCGTTTCGCCGTTTGGTGGAAGAGATGTGATAAATGAGAAGTATGTGACACTTCTCAATGAGTAGCATCGTCATACTTCAGGTAGAGTTAGGACCTGAGGTTAGCTTTCCCCACCCTTTGCGATCTCCAGTGGAGTGCGACAAAGCTGGTCAATATTCACAATCCCTTTCAAATGTGCGTAAGAACGTGCTAGACAGATTACCTACTCCGATCCGGAACAGATTTGATACTACCATGCTGGGTGACAACATAAAGGTCGATCAACACGCTTTAAACCACTTGGTATGTTCTTGGCTGTTTTGAGACGAAAGCTAGAGTGTGAATCCCACCATGACTACTGATATTTTCACAAAGAGGCATGACAAATCTGTCACGATAATGCTAGCTGAATGCTTACGTAAGAAAACAGGTTGAAGCGGACTCGGGCATCAAGGGTGGTTATTATTTCAATGCGATAACCAATCGGCTTTCTGCGACGGAGATATTAGCAGCTATTTACACATCAACGCAACACAATATGGCGATAATCCGTCACTGTTATTAAAAGTGCCGAATCTGGATTCGGTAAACATGCAACGTATTTTGATTCATAACCAGGATAGAACAGCTTCCAAGGCTTTTCAGGGGTGAGTGATGTATTGACTCTGCCGGACGAATAGACTCTCATAGGAAAATCAAATGCTCCTATGCATTTCTCGTCATATTGTCAAACATTGTCTTGTTCCTCTTACCCGTGACCTCAAACAATCGAATTCCTTCTGACCTTCTAAGCGATTCAATTGGATAGAGAAGTCAGAAACATGGGTTTGCACAATGTATCCATGGTCATTTCGCTGCAT